CAATATAAACATGCTAATTTTCATGCGTGCTCCAGCCACGAACCATCACATACACAAGAAAATCATTTATAGTCCACAATAAAGCTAATTTCACTTGAAAATTTTGTTTTCTTGAGATGTCATACATCAAAGTCATAAATGATCATAATAAGTTAAACTCATTAATCAATGATCGAAAAAAAAAAAAAACATATACATTCTTATATGGACTATTAGAAATAGATATGGCCATATATAAGAACATGAACTTTAGCCTCATACACATCCCTTGTAGCTAGTTAATTGTAAACTGTGAGTATCACCGGCTAACAAGAATATGGTGCAACAAATGACTCAAATGAATTGAATTTGTATGTACATAACCTAATATGTATGTTGTATAGTTTCATTGAAAACCGAGGATACATCCTATGAAAAACTTTTCAAGCTTCACCATTAAAATGGTGCATTATAACTCCTTCCATCGCATCATATGAATGATGACATGTCATATGCTCAAAAGTCATTGGAGACATGAATAATCTTTACAATCTAGGAGTGATTGAGAAGTATCTTATTTTTCTTTATACGACAAGAGTCTTTCCCCTACCAGTTCTATGTTTATATTAAGCATGCCTACAAGTTATGCACTAGGTCAAATCTATATTTTTTTAGTTGTATAACATGCAGAGGTTTGGACACATGTTAATTTTGTAGTATCCTAGGCCAAAGGTTTTCATCGTGGATTTAGCAACATAAAATTTTTTTTCAGCCTATGCCCTCAAGGTAAAATGTTTCTCGTCTATGTGATGATTATGTTATAACTGACCTCGTTCAACTCATGATCTAACTTAATGGTGAACATCGGTGCAACAACCGATGATTTATTATGATTTGTGCATCTATCTCATAATGGGTCTTCAGAATCTTTCAAAATATCAAAAAACATGGTTATGTATGTATTTTGTTCTTCATCTACAATTGATATTCACCTGCATCTCTATGCATGTTGTTAGAACTAGAAATTGATTCAACATCCCTTTCTACCATAGTCTTATAAGAAAAACATGGTTCTCTATGTGCAAACCAACACAAGTATTTATTCATGAATCCTTTTTTATAAAAAATACATTGTAACAACACTTGGATCAAGAAAATTTTTATTTTTACACCTCTTACACGCATATCTAAGACTCCCTCCACTAATATTTTTTGGATTAGATAATGCATTTTTAATAAAACCCTTAATGATTAGATAATGCATTTTTAATAAAACTCTTAACCCCGTTACGATAACTAATCTTGTGCATCCCTTCGGGTTAAACTTGACACATACAATTACGACCATTCATTACTTATATCAAACCTACATAAAATATTAATAACAACATGTTTTAATTAATAATGTGAACTAAACAAATTATCAGCACCTAACTAATTAGCTATTATTAATTTAACTCAAACTTATTCAATTTATTTTTATATTACCCTTAAATCATTAATAATTTTCTATAAAAATTCAAATTCCTCCACATTTACTAAAAATTTCAACTTGATAATAAAATTGATATAATATAAAATATAGCCGTTAAATAAAATATTATTTATTTTATTACAAAACACCTATATCACATAATCAAACTCAATTTCATAAAATTACAAACAAATATAATTTTTTTTAAAATCTAAAACAAACTCTAACATGCATAACTAATGCATTCATACAACAAATATCTATAGAAAAAAGCTATAAAACAAGTAAACACATATACATTTTACATAAAATGCTAAAAAATTAACGTTTTCAAAATAGGCTACAACAAAAAATTGCTAGTTTTATTTAATTACTTGGTAAGGAAACTTTAAAATAAAATTGAATTATAATAAGGATGTTGATAGATTGAATAAAATATGAGGTTGATATGTATTGCTTTCTACATAATAATAATAAAAAGAAGAAAGAAGTAGAAAAAATGGAGGGAGATGAGGGTTTGTTTGTTATATTTTAACTTAAATATTAATAATAGATTTACTAATATCTAACATATTAGCAAGAGAGATATTTTGCCTCTAATTTCATTGTAGTAATGACATGTCCTTTCTCTTTCTCTATCTTCTTTTCATTCAATTATATTAATTCTCTCAGTAGACATTGATAGGCACTTTCTGTTAATAAACACCAATGAACATAGCAAAGAAATATTCCGTAAGTAAGCATCACCGTAACGTAAATTACAGAAGAGTTTTTGTTTTGTTTGACAATTTGCCGATGGTTGAAGAGATACAGAAAAGGAGTCCAGGCTAGCAAATAATAAAAGAAGAGAAGTGGGGCATGATGGGGCAGCTGTCTCCGACATCTTTGACGGGAAAGCATCATCATCCATCCAACCCTAACCAGGCAACCCCACTCTCTCTCTCTCTCTCTCTCTCTCTCTCTAAAAGTATGAATGCCCAGTCTGTCATGTTATCGGGTGCAGTAGGCATCACTGTATTTTTATTTCTATGAATTGAAGAGGTAGCAAACAGACTATACGATCCTTTCTTTCTCGAACAAGAGTATAGACCAGCAAACAGTGTACTTTCTTTCTTTCTTTCTCTCGGTGTGTAGGCTCAGGAAGAAGTTGCTGACGTGTGGGTGAGTGTGCGAGTGACTGACTCATGCACATGCATGTCTCGCAGCTTTACCTCCTTCGCGCTTTCTTGCTGGCCCCATTGCCTGCTCTCTTTTTTGAGAAATTGTTGCGCTGCCAATTAATAATAAAATCTTATAAATTATTAAATTTATTCTGATAATTAATTCTATAAATTATATTTGTAATGTGAATAAAATATAATAACTAATAAGAAGTCCATTATAAAATGATTTGAATAAATTTGATGATATGTAAACCTTTTAATTGATTGCATTCATAGTCTTAGATAATCGGCTAAATTCACCAAAAGCTTTTATTGCCAAAGACAAACTCATAGTTTAATAATTAAATTAAAATATATTTTTTTTGTACAAAAACATTCCAATATAAACTACAGTCTGATGGAAAAAATGTTTTTTTTGGTACAACATAAATATTATGTGATCCACAAGTTATCACTCATAATCATTATCGTCTTCGCTTCTATCCTTCTCAAGTTCTCTTATATTCATGTGTTTTTTTCCCTGGGATCCTATCACAGCTGCGTATCATCATGAATATTATTATTAAACTTGGTTTATATTGATGAATTGATTCAGAATCTAGTTGGTTTAAGATATAATTTAAGTTTATTTTTAAATAAAATAAAATAAGAGTTAATTTAATTAAATATGGTCAACTCGATAGCTCAACTTGATTGATTTGATTAAAATTTAATTTGGTTTAAAAAAATAATAATATTTTTTAAAATTACTAAACATGCATAACCTATCATCAAAGCTTTAAATCAAGCTAGACTTTGCTCAAGACAACGTTCCCCTCTTGGAAGATGGGGAGATAAAGGCCATTGGGCTGGTATCCAAAATGGCCCTTTAAATTTTCAGGGATTTTTCTTAAACACTTGTGACCTGGCGTGATACGAGTTTGTCCATCTCGGGGAAGTTTTTTAAATCAACACAATAAATTAAAAATATTGGTGAGATAGCATGGTTTGAAAAAAATAGCACAGTCCATATATATTGTAATTGAAAAACACAATATTTATAGTTTGTAAAATAGCAACGTTTTAAAAAATATATATATGAAATAGGTAAGAGAGGAGAAAACAAAAAAAAAAAAATGCATACCAAAACAAACTAGTTACAACAAAAAACATTTAACAAGACAACCAATAATACCAAGAAAAGTTTTTAATAGTGACCTAGTGAGTTATACTTATTTTTAAAAACAAGTGAGTCACTAATCATTTTTAAACAATAAATATAACATATTCAAATATCTTTAAAAATAAGTAAGTCATTAATCATTTTTAAACAATAAATATAACATATTTAAATATCATCAGTGACTTTTCTTTATTATAGAATTTATCTCGTCGCCAAGATTTTCATGACAATACTAATAATATCCTAATCAGAATTTTTAGTGACCTTTCAAGATAATTTTTTTCTCTTTTTCATCTGTCCTATCTATTTCATAATCTATTTTTAAAAATTATTATTCTAAATAGTAACAAGTTATAAATATCATATTTTATCATGTTTTTTAATAAATACATGTATTAACAGTATTATTTTGTTAATACATATTAACCGCACTATTTTGTCAATTCTTTTTTAAACTATATTGTTTATCCAATAATTTTTTTTTTAAACTATATTGTTTATCCAATAATTTTTTTAAAAAAAAAAAAAAACTAGTCAGCGAAAATAGCCACCACTGGGGCAGATTCTTTCTGATATTACCCTTAAGATTCTAACTTTTGTGGCTCCATGAACCTGGGTGTTAATTATTTCACCTTGGATCGATATGGTGACTTATCCCAACCATTTTGCTGTCCACATTGGTTGGCAATTGGACACTCAAATCTTCAAAAGCCTCATTAACGATTGGGCTGAAGATGCAGTGGTAAGTCTAGCTTTCCCACCCTAATGTAATAAGAGAAACAAGAAAACGCTCGGACTCCTACCACAAAAAAACGGAAAAAGAAGGGGGGAAGATCAGCAGGAGATCCAGCAAAATCAAGAAAAATTGCCCAAGAGAGTAGAGATACTTGAATCGACATTATCAGACTAGTTATCAACACAAGATGTTAACGATGGATAGATATCATTAAGTAGTAGTTAACCTAATCTAAAGCATTTAAACACTGGAAGTGGTGCTCTAAAGACAGGCACCAAATTAGCAACCAAGCGCTCCTGCTTTCCCAAAAATGAGATGAGATTTAACATCAGGCCTTGCCCTCCCTGTTCTTCTTCAAAACATTGCGCATACCAAAAACCCTCAAAGCAAACAAGATGAGTTTAACTTGTACAACTTAAACTGTTCTACTAGCACATGTCTTCATGATAAAGATGAAGTCCAAGACCAAAGCGTGCACAGGCTCTACGAAATGCCATTGCTTCTGCCTTTTGCACAGGATCTCCAAAACCTATCTCATCCAAAGCAGCAGTTCCGGTCGACTCCCTGTATAGCTGGTGGAATTAAAAAAGAGTTAACAGGAGATCACTGTTAGCAATTCTCTTCAATTCACGCAACTGAACTCAATGGAAATATAACTATTAGAAATGTGGGTAAAAGATGGCTTTCAGAAGGAGATAAATTTAATAATTTCTCGTCATGAATATAAATGTTGGACAAAAGCAGGTCATGGCTGATTATAGGATCACGTAAAGAAATCCACTTAAGTAGACATCTAAACATTTTAGCGATTGTTGCAATACCATTTCACCAGATTTCAGGAGAGGGGGAGGGAGGAAAATGCAGTAAAAATATAACAAAGAAATATACATATTTTACAATTTCTTACATTCCCCATCATGTAAAATTGGTTTTATCTTCAATTGAAACATAATAACAATCAACTTACCAATCAGTGAACATCTTCCTAAGTCTCACTATTCATAATAGTTAAAAACTGCCTAATAAAGCATCTCCTAAAGCAGAAACCTTTGTTTTCCCTATTTTTACTTTTAAAGATTTTTTTTTTTTTTTTGTAAGATATGTTAATCTTCATTCATTAAATTGAAATCCGTAGTGTGCCTCAAACCCTATCTTCAGTTAGCACACTATTCAATCAACAATCAACAAGGACAGTTGTTCAAGTTGGAAACACATCAGATATATAGTATTCCAAATAAAGAAGGCAAATTACCAAATCACAACTTTCAGAATTTCTCTTGAAATTCAACTTCAGTTAACAAAAGGTACTATACCTTAACTGGAAAAGTATATCTCAGACAGTTTTAGACCCCAAAATTTCTAATGTTGTTCCTTATTTTTTACTCTTTCGCCACACCGTTAGGCTCTGTTAAGAACAAGCCACTTTTGAAAAACATCAAACTGAAGAACTAAGAAGATCAATAAGAGAAATCTCCCATGTCATGAGCTGTCCTATTAGCTGTGTTGTCTACTCTTTCATCAGAGAAATGCAGCGTCAATGGAGTCCTGAACACTCAAGACTTTATTTTCTTAATGACACATTTTGCCTACCGTAGTTGAAAAGGTCCCCCCTTACCTCTCAAGCAAAAAATATGAAATAAGATCACCTCAAGTAAAAAGTATCAACCAGTCTGCTCAGGAATGCACATCTTCTTGCTCTCAATTTTATTAGCCTTATATGCCTTTCACAACTACTTCCTCTGGTTTAGGCATCAGAGTTCGATTAAGACACAACTACAACATGCCAAAAGATTGTGAGCATTTATTAAGCAATCTTTCCAGGGAGCCATTAAAGTCGATATATCATGTCATGATTTCCAACTCCAGAGTCAGAAAGTAGTGATCAGGCAAGGGTGAGGCATCACAACGCAAGAAATCAGTAAGCCTATGCTGGCCATGAGAAAATGGCAATAGAAATTGAGCATACCATACACTAAAAACCACAAACAAAACGTAGGTAAAGCAAGAAAGATACCTCAGCATCAGTCCCATAGAGAGTGACACGGTAAACAACAGATACAGACTTGCTATCAGGTGAATAAGTGATGCTCCGAACCTCACCAGACCATTCTGTATTAGGTAAAGAAAGTAAATGTTAGGCTTGGATATCAAGTTAAAATATAATTATTAGTAAATGATACAAACTTGTGTGATGTGTGTATTAACTCTTAGCATACCTGGAGCATGTAAATTCATAATCCTGTTAACAATATGCCTAATAAAAACAATAGAAAACAACAATAAATAACAATAAAATCAGCCAATAGCCTTCTAAATCATTATAATTAGAGATTGCTTCTTTTTTGTTTTTTCAAATTGATTTTCAGCTGAAAAAATATAAATTAATATTTTTTATATTTTTTGTAATTTTAATATACTGATATAAAAAATACAAAAAATTCAATTTTCAATTAAAATAACATTTTTTATATTTTATAATTTATTTTTCTAAATTAACAATTCAAAAAAAAAAGACCTCGACGCAATGCCTACCAAACAGGGCCATTCTGCTCAAGAAAAGTCAAAATGAGATTGTACGATTAAAACAAAATAACCCATTACCCAAATACTAGACTTTTTTCATCTTTATACATCATAAGCCTAAAAACCCCATTTTTTTTTCAGGAAAAAAAAGGTTGAAATCAAAACATATGGGTGAATATACAGGTAAAGAGAGGAAGTAATTACCAAGGGACATATTTGATCGAAAACCCATTATCAACACGCTGACTAACAAGAGTTTCAGGGACCTTTTTGTTGAGTTCTTTGAGTATTTCAGAGAGTGGCCTACTTATTCCTGAAGTGGGTACAGAATCGTTTTCAGCGTTGTCATCGATGTCACTTAGCTTTTCTGTTGCTGTGTTTTTGTTTCTGGCACCAAAAGCAGAAGACTTGGTAGAGTAGTTGAGAGAAGATAAGAAAAGGAGTGATTGTTTCAAAGGAGAGCTGGATAGTGGGTTTAGCGTGAGGAATTTCCTCGTAGACATTGCTGCCATGTTTTAGCGAGAGCGGGAGACAGAGAGAGGAAGGACAAAGATCTGTAGAAACCAAACCCTCTTTTGAATGTGGTTTTGTTGGATTCGAGACAGGGCTCTGCTTTCTCTCAGGGTTGTATGCTTGCATTGTATGCCTGTATGGGCTTCTTATGGGTTTCGAGAAATTGATTGATTTTTGGAAAACTACATCGTTTTCTTAGTTTTTCTCCCACTCTTCAAGTATTTCTCATTTTATGTTATGCCTATTCATTTGTTTCTAAATTAATACATTTTTATCATAGTTTACTCATTAAATTGCATTTGATTAATATTGAAGATAAAAAACAAATATAAAAGAAAAAATATTTGATTATAAAAACAAAGATAAAAATATAAAACCAATATATCTCTATTATAATTTTGAAATAATTTTTTATTTTAATATATATATATAATCTTTTGTCTCCTATAATCACACAAAAATGAATCTTGACTAAGCCTATTAACTATACCGTCTATTCTAAAAAATTCATGAAATAATTAGCCCCCATATTAATTTTTTGGTCATTTTGAACGACCACAAATTGGCAAAATTGATATTAAAATATTACATTCTATTTAAAAATAATAATGTCATGGATCAATTTCTCTAATTTATACTCAATTTATTGAAATTAAAAATTAATGTGTTGGTTAATAAAGGAGTTTGTATATTAATGATTTGTGATGAAATCACGTAATCTAATATAGGAGACACTATCTTGATTTTAATTATGAAAATAATAAAGTTTATTCCATTAATCTCCTAGTCTTTTTGTCTCAATCGCTAAATTAAATGAAAAATTCAATCAATCTTAAGAAAATATCCATAAACATAAAGAAAAAACAAATCCGTAAAGAATCAATCAAGACAAGAAATTATTAATTTTTTAAAAAAAAAGAAAAGAGTAGGAGAATAATTACAAAAATCAAAAGCAATTGTATTGGTACATGGGGTTACTAGGGACCAATTTAATTTTTTATTGATTGAATTCATATTTATATTTTCATATATACTATTTTTTTAATTTTCAAGTGAATATCTTTCTACATAAAGATTTTGTATACAAGTATTTAAATTAAACCAAGTGAGATTTCTCACGAAAGTTAATTTTCAAAGCAGATTTATATACAAGTATTTATCACAAAAGTTAATTGATATATCATATATATTTGTTACTATCTATATTTTAAATTCAAATATCAAATAGCAATAGGAGGATAAATCACACCAACTTAATTAAAAAAAGATAATCTAAATTTTTTTTGTGACAGACATAAAAATATAATCAAGAATATTAAGAAAATTTAGATGTGTGATCACATATAATTAACTAACTGTTTAAGTTTTTAAAATTGATAATTTTATGAATTTTTATTAAATTTAAAATTTATAATAATTGAATTGATAATTTTTAAAAATTAAATTTAAAATTTAATCATTTAAATTATTATTATTATTATTAATAAGAGATAATATTAATTATTTCTATAATTACTTTTTAGGAATTATCGGGTAAAATAAAAACATAAAGCTTGGGAAGTGTGCAGCACGCTCTCCAGCACATGTAAAAAAAATGATTTAAAATACTTTTTTTGTCGGATGTTGGAAGCATCGCCATTTTTTGCTAGTGTACAGCACACGGTATCTAAATATCATTTTTAATAAAAAAAAAAAAAAAAAAAAGTCCCACCGCATTGCGCGGGTACACTGCTAGTGACAATCTTAATATGCCATTGCATCTCTCACTATACTTGAAATCCAACAATTTAGAAGGTGGAAGCAGAATTGAAATTTTTTATAGTATTATCCAATTGAAGATTTAAATAATGCTTATAAGAAGAGAGACGCTACTTATGAAGTCCGGCTATGAGCATTTACCTGCACTCCTCAGCCTAGAGCAAAATAATGATTAATAAGCATAATAGTATTAATGATAAATAATAATAACAACAATAACAATAACAATAATAATAATAATAATAATAATAATTTTTTAGAAGTCATTAGTTTGATTTTTATAAATTTTAGAGTTATTAAAAATTTAAATAGTTATTAATTTTAGACCTGTAAAATTAATATAAATACATATAATCTGACCCGAACAAACATATTATATATATAAAATAAAATCATTTTCAATGAGTGTGTTTTACTTAAAAAATATAATATGTTTATAACATTTTTTATTTTTAAAATTAGTATATCAAAATAATTTTAAAATATTAAAAATATATAAATTTAAAATAAATAAAAAATATTAACTTTTTTTAAAAATACTTTTTAAAATCAGTAAAAACACCCTCTAATCATGTCCCGCTAGTGGCCTAGTTCAGCTCATCTCCTTTTTGGCACATGGCAGTGGTTTCAAACCCGATCTCTGATATCACGCTGCCCTAATTTCTGAATCTAGAAGAACCTCAACAGCCCTAGAGATGATATGATAGGTTACTTTGGCTGCGGCCATAGAACCGTTATCATTATCAGGAAAGATCAATTTCTCCATTCACAAAAATCTACTCTATATCTTGCTTGACACCCATTAATTATCAATCCCAAGTACATTAAACTAATTGATCTCCCCAAATCTATTCTTCAGAGCATAGCGGCATGAACTCGATACACAGCCATGTATTGATGAACACAGCCATTCCCAAAACATGGAAAGTAGAATGGAACCTTGCTAACTCAAATGCATGACTATGATCCTTGGGATCCACTCCATTAGTTCTTAGTCATCTCAAACATCTCTGCACAGTAGATATAATAGAAGGGGAAGACAGCCATCGGCTTGCTCTGGTACTAATTGATCGCAAATCCATCCAGTCTGCACTGCTGTTTGTTCCGTAATCAAGTAAAGAAAAGGTAAAAACACAGCCACTGCAGGGTATATGCTACTTTCTTGAAAAGAAAAACAAATATTAAAGAACGAAGTCTTGCAATAGGATGCATGTCAGAGATAACCATGCAACCTTACCCTTTAAGTTCTCAGTAAAGAAAATTCAATTAGGTCTCTGACAGATAATATGTCGTTGCATCTCACCAGCCTAACCTTATATATCAAGCGACATTCTTCAAAGCGCTTCTTCAGGGACCATCAAATCGTAGTTTAAACCACAATTTGAGCATTTGAAAGTATACCACGGATTTGAATAATGTTCATGCACAAATGTGAGAGATCTTACCTTATTAAGTCCAGCAGTTACCTTTCATTTGCGCTCCTTAGCCTAACATAAAATAAACAACATAAGACCACCTTCAAGGGATGCACCACTAAACTTCCCTCCATTACATATAGTTGACAAATGTAGTTTGGTTTCTGCAGTTGAATGATCGAGAAAGTGACGAGCCGTTTGCCAGTGATTCCCTATGTCTAATTCAGGAATAAGAGCAGAGGTAGCTCATCCAAGCCAGAGCGAGTTGCAACATAATTGAACATTCAGTTACAGTTATCGTAACTCAATTTTAATCTTATTTTTTATTATTTTTATTATTTTATTTAAAAATAAAAAATAAAAAACAAGTAAAAATAAAATAAATAAAGAGTGAATTAAAATTTGGATTAAGGGCAACATGATTTCAAATTTAAGGATTTAATTAAACTCTTGACTAGTTTAATAAATCAAAGGCTTAGTTAAAAAATTAATAAGTTTGCAGCCTCAATTAAACTTTGATTTAATAAATTAAATAATTCAGGGATTTAATTGAAATTAATCCAAGCGGCAAAATTAAAATTTATCAATTAAGGGACCCAATTGATACATTTCAAAACATCAGGGACCGATCTATCATTTGTCATTTTCCATGCCAAATGACGCCGTTTTAGGATCCTTCTGTTCATCACCTGCTTGTTGAAGAACGGTTCAACAGGGAAGCTGGAAACTCGGCAACAAAGTTGACCCAATCTTGACTATGTCTTCTGCCACGATCCCGGTCTTGGAGGAGAAGGTTTTTGAAGCTTTCTGGCCTTATAAAAGGCAAGGACGATCCCGGTCTTGGAGGAGACGGTTTTTAAAGGCCAGAAAAAAACCTAGAACTGGAGGAGGAAGAGAGCAATTCACAGCACTCGACAGCAAGAAAAAACCGAAGAAAAAACAGAGCAGTATCCAAGGAAAAACAGAGCAAACAAAACAGAACCCAAAAAAGAAAATACAGAGAAGAACCGAAAATCAACCCAAATTTCATCCCAGCAAGAAGAAACTAGTTTTCGTCAAAAAAAAATATACACAGAAAAGGAGAGAAAGGCAGAGGACCACAGATCAACCTTGTTTTGGTCCCTGAAGAAACCAATTGATAACCGAACCATTGGTTATTGAAAGAAGAAAATCGAACCAACACTCTCAGCATCGCCGGAAACAGAAATCAGTAGAATCAAAGCCACACCAGCGTTACAGCCTTCCTCAGCATCGCCAGAAACAGAACGCAACGGAGCCCAAGCAGCCGCACCAGCGTTGCAGACTTCTTCAATCGTCAGAAACAGAGAAACAGGTGCGCCGGTTTCTGTCATGGGTGTTTTAATAACAGTTGAACAGTGCGAAGGTAACTTAATTACCTTCGCACTGTTGATGCACGCGTGAATTTTTTTCACGTGTGCACCTGTTTGTTTAGCCGGGCGATTTAAATTTATTTTATTTTTATAGTTACGTGATATTTACCCACACCAGAGTTGGAAATATCTGTAGTTAAATATTCACTGACGCCAGAGTCAGGAATATTACACGCAAAACCACCGTAGCATAAACCAACAAAACATTAGCAATTATTGACAAAGTCAGCAATGAAGCCTGTCTTAGGCAAGACGCTAAAGGGGTGATAATATCTTTCCTTTTGCGTTACCAATCTCGAACCATAGAACCTCTGTTGACTAGTTAGGGTTCCTAGTAACCATAATACTAGGTGGCGACTCCTTAAACAAAGAATATCTCCATTAAAGAACAGGATGCCAGAAATCCGGTCTTTCCAAAGATTTTAAAAGATTTTTAAGGCCGTCGCGATGTCGGATCCGACAGAATGGCGACTCCGCTAGGGACCAATGGACTAAGCTTTGCCTTTTGTTTATCAATTGCTATAATGTTTGTTAGGTTATGTTATGTTTATTTGTTTATTTTTCTTGAATTTACTGCTTTAGCATGCATCCATGTTTATATTGTTATGCATCACGTTGAGAGCACACACCTGAAAATCTAGAATAGGTGGGAAGTGGTTGATATGCCAAACTAATATTACTCAGGACCTCTATTTTCACACTACTTGTAAGCCTCATATCGATATTCCATGGACGATCACTGAGCATGTGAGAGACCCTTCAAAACTAGATAGTGACCAACCTTTTGATGCACTCAACAATTAGGATCTTCCTATTAGGTTGTCATCCCGTGAAGGACGAGTTTACATTTCATACATATTTTTTTAATTGCTTCAATATTTTTTGCATAATTGTATGATTTACATATAGCAGGTTGAAATATAGGTTCCCCATTGAAACCCATTCGAGAAAAAGACAAATGGAAGATGAAGAAAGAGCCCAATTGGAAGCCCAACATAAAAAAGAGGTGGACAGTCTTAAAGAAGAAGTCGCAAGGCTTACTAGTCTACTCGAGCAGGCCCTGAGAGATAAATCCAGAAAAACAGCACTTATAGCTCAACCTGAACCTATGCTTGTAAATCCCTTCAATCCATAGAATCTGGGGGCAAATGGGTTGTCATCTAATTTTCAACAAGCCATGCATTTTCAACCAGCATATCCCACAAAAATGTCGTTTACCATTGATTCTATAGAGAATGAATCTCAATGGGCAACATAATAAAAGAAGATGATCTGAACAAATGGGCAACATAATACTGCAACAAAATGGCTGAGGTGGTTGATGATGAGAAACTGCTGATTCATTTCTTTCAAGACAGTCTGAGTAATGTTGCCCTCACTTGGTATATGCGGTTGGACAATACCGAGGTTAAAAAATGGAAGGATTTAGTGGATACCTTTATGAGGCAATATAAGTTCAATATAGACATGGGCCCTGATCGGTTAAGCTTGCAAGCTATGGAGAAGGACAACAAGGAGTCCATAAGGGAATACGCCTATAGATGGAGTGAGATGGCTGCACAAGTTAATCCTCCCGTGTTGGAAAAAGAGATGATCAGTTTATTTTCCAACACCTTTAAAGCCCCGTACTTTGAATACTTGGTTAGAAGCTCTGCACAACATTTCACTGACCTGGTTGTTATAGCTGAGAGGATTGAACAAGCCATTGAGTTAGGTAAAATTACTAATCCAACTGAAAAAGAACGGTTTTACTGAAAAGGGAAAAGACGCTGAAGGGGGTTGCCAAGGCACTTACTGTTCTTACATATGACTTCAACTAACTGTTGAAAAGATGCCCTGGTCGAGGAGAATGAATGATTGAAAGATTCCGGAAATCCCAATCAATGATCGCTCAATGTTTAGCCCCTTTATATGTTATCATGACAGTGTTCATAGCCCAAGATGTTAGCATAAGTTCTTAGTTCTTAAACTTCTTTTCCAAAGTTTCAATGAAATAATAAGTTTGTCATTCAATCATGTTTACGACCAAGCATTATTCATTTTCTTGAGAGAGTTTTCTTGTAAAGACTCGCAAACACATCTTTGAAGCCTTACACGATCTCATAGACGCAATTCATCTTTCTTATCAAAATCAGTTTCCCTATTGGAGTTTTGAAAAAAAATTGATCTAGCATTTTGATTTCAATTTTTTTTTTTCAAAAATGATATTTTTGACATTCTACTTGTAGAATGACAAGTGAATCAAGCAACTCCTTCGTAGAGGTGACCAAACTCTAAAAAAGAAAAAGAGGGGCATGCCCAAATCACAAGAAAAGGTGATAACCAAGATAAAATGAGTATGCTCTATAGCAAACCAATGAAAAAAAAAGCAGCAAATCAAAGAAGAGTGGCAAAAGAAAATATGAATGACATCAATAGTCAAACTGTTAATAGTGATCCTCAGTCTTTGAAGCCCTGAAACACTCTTTGAGCCTTATGAATCCTTTTCTTTTATAGCCAAAAACCACAGCCTACGTTACGTGCCTATAGAAGTCCTTTCTAATCAAGCAACCTAGAACAATAAACAATGCTCTCAAAATGCAAAGAATACTTTTTCATAAGATTCATGACATCAAGAATAAACTACTCATTATTATTCATGCTGATAAAAATAAATGTGCAAAAAGAGACAAGTTCTTCACATACAAAACCTCGAGCTTTTTCTTGAGCCCTCCACTTTGAAACCCTATAAAAATAAAAGGTCATAATATCATGACATATTTTCACCAAAGAGCTCATTGTCAAACACAAGAACAAATAATCTCTTTTCCAAGAAAGAAAAATAACCAAGGAGTTGCAAGATTTCAAAAGCAAATTGTTTTAGACTAACATCGAAACAATTTTTGTTTTCAAAATGCCAGATCAAGATTTCAAGATTCCTTCTAGACCTATATTCCTTCACCAAACTAAAAAGGAGAGAAGTGAGAGAATGACCTCTTAAAACCTTTATTTTTCTAAGTCGCTGATAGAAGCATACTTAAAGGCAATAAATAATACAAGGGGGCAACATTGTGTTTAGAAGGAAAAGTTCTACAAAAGGAGATGGTAATTTCCTTCAACCAGACAAGGGAGCATTTTGGTTTATAAAAGACAGCTCGATCCTTTCAGCAAGTGACACCGAATGTTTCTAACAGTAAAACGAGGAATAATGAGTGCTCCTCTCAAATTATTTGACGAATCAGAAAATCTTTAGCAAGCAAGTGGGTCACGATGGGCACCATAAATGCTGAGTTATGTAAATAAATTTGGAAATAGACTTACATGGGCCAACTCGAGTAGGCTAGAAAGCTAAACGACAAAGATGACTCAAATCAGATAGCAAGATCTCACCAACCAAGCAACGAGAAGATTAAGAAGAAATGGGGGCCTATATTTCAAATCAGGTAAAAATGCATGCATATCATTTAAACTTTGAGACATTGGACAATGAGAGTTGTAATTTTTTATTAGAGAAAATTCTAACAGAATCCCCCCCTCTTGAGGCAGTGCAGTTCCTATCCTACCTCCATTTGAGCGCGCCTTCGAGCCCTCATCTTATTTCCATCCAAGTCGCCTTCGAGCCCTCGACCATCAAAAGGTAGTGCATTTCCTATCCTACCTCCATTCGAGCGCGCCTTCGAGCCCTCATCTTATTTCCATCCAAGTCGCCTTCGAGCCCTCGACCATCAAAAGGTAGTGCATTTCCTATCCTACCTCCATTCGAGCGCGCCTTCGAGCCCTCATCTTATTTCCATCCAAGTCGCCTTCGAGCCCTCGACCATCAAAAGGTAGTGCATTTCCTATCCTACCTCCATTCGAGCGCGCCTTCGAGCCCTCGTCCTATCTCCATTCAAGT